TTTTTTTTTTTTTCACTTCTCAGATTGACCATACTATGTTCTCCTTATGTAGAGGACATTAGAGCTGTTTTTTATAATAAAGAGGAAATAGAGAGGTGTGCATCATGAAATGAATGTAATCTCCTTCTTCATTAAAGTGAAATTGTGCAAAGGCAAGTCCTTGTAGCTCTCGCAATGAGTGAATCACTATATATCATATGTTTTTACTTGCATTTGATTTTCGTTCCATGTTGTTATTGCTCTTAGAGATACGATATTAGATGTCTAATTCTCACGAGATTAGGTGTCTGATCCATAACAATATTTGATGAAACTATTCATCATTTCAAAATGAGAACTCTCCAGTTATTAAATTATACCTAGTACTATAGTTCACATATTCTATTTTGCACTCTATTAACCAAAAAATAAACACAGTCCCGTTGAGTGTCATTAAAAGAATTAGGCAGCATCAGGTGCAATGTTGGGTTCAGTAAATTTCAGCCTCCAATAGTGGAGATTCATTTTCTCCATGCATCTGTTCCTCATCATCCTCTTTGTTCATCTAGTTTCTAAGTTATATCATCATCATGTTGGAGGAGACAAAACGTTCTGGAAGGAGTTCATTAGTGTATTAACATTCTCTTTATGTTACTTTTGGAGTTCATTAGTGTATGCATTTTCTTTACGAAAATTCAAAATTAAAGAAAGAATGAAAACTAAATATGAACAAAGATTCCCAACCAAAGGTTATGCAAAAGTTAGTTGCAAGCAGGCCTACCTTAAAAGCATTGGATATTGTGGAAGTCATAAGATCAAGTACATAACCACCTGCTAGTGTTCCCAATATTCCACAAACTACTGTAACACCTCCAAACATAATATCTGCATTACCCTGGTAAAAGTAAACCAAATTTCAAATATTAAATCATAATAGTATAAATTTTATGAGACTAAAAGAGAACGTGCTTTGCGTCATCATACAATTCAAATGTCTCATGTATTAGAAAAACCATATGTAATAATGACAGTGAGGCATTGACAGTTCAAGGGCCGCTAAAAGCTTACCATGTGATATATATTATAACCAGCCTTGGGTCCCCAATAGGAATATGAACCTATGACAAAATTATATGCTATGTAACCTGCAATAGTATAGAAAAATCAAGATTTTTGCATGCAAGAAATCAACATGCTTATTTTAGTGGATATAACCATTTACATTAAATCAGTAATCATTGTCTTGTCACTTTTTCAGCTGCCGATGTCCAAACACAAAAACAAGTAGAGGAGATATAAGATCAACACTCCAAATATTATTCAAGAATGCAACTAGCGCACAAGTTTTTGGTTATGGAAGGATAGAGAATATACCAAGAACATTCACAACATAAACCTTCTCCAGTAAAAGAATTTTTACATCTTCCCAAAATCTTGTCAATACATTTGCATTCCAAGCAACTGTTAACCTGAATTAGATGTAAGGTTTACCAATAACATATCCATTTATACACAAGAAATGAAGTCGTGAAATCACACACACCTAAATGAAATTCAAACCAAATGTTCATTAAGTAGTTCTAAACTTCTAATATCCTAAAGTGAGCTCAAAAAATTCCTCACCCAAAAGCTTTTGAACTTTGATCTGCAGCTTCTCTTGTGGACAGTTCGCCATCTTCACCATTTGACCATTGCATTCATTCAAATAAAAGTGTTTAGGTCAAATATTCAAGCACACTAGATATGCTTAGCAAAAAAATAAACTTCCAGGGGAGAGTAGAAATCAAAAGCAAAAAGGATGTTCAAACTATTCCACAGCTTTCAGTGATTGGTGAGAAAGGGGCAACTTCCGGTGGCAAAGTAATGAGAAAATGTAAGGTGGACCTGGCGGTGGTGATTGTGAAGTTGTGAGGATGGTAGCGGAAGGATTTTCATTTCTTTTACAGGACTGATGTTTATTGGGTTTTTCCTTTTTGGGTGATGCTTATAGGATTGCTTGCATGAAAATTTAATGGATTAGAACAGGGTTGGTAAAAATTCAGTCTTAGTAATTTTATCGGTTTATTCTGTCACCCATTGAAAATTGAGAGCACTTGTATACCATGTCAGGAGCATTTGGTGACTTGGAGGGGATAGGTGAATTTCCCAGCTCTTGCTTCACCAATCAGAATTCCCCAAATGCAGAATGAGGGGAAAAAACTTGTAACAGTCTTAATGCATGTTAACAGCAAAATATCGCACCTTGATCTTCCGAGCCATACTGCAATACAGATGCTTTTTTGGATACAGCAGGAGAGAAACCTGCAGGATCAAATTATTAAAAAATGGCTGGAAAAGAAAATGGGATAAAAGCAAAGCTACGCGATGACTTAAAAAAGACCTTTCAACTGCAAAGGTTTCATCACAAAGCCTAATATAGCAAAAGGAAGCATCAAAATTGCCTCTCCCCAGAATGCGATACGCCAGTTGAATTGGCCAACCTGTAAACAGAGAAAGCAGGAATGAGTTTAGAATGGTTTCCACAGTGGAGAAAAATTACATGAAGATGGAGACGAGGGAGAATATAATAAGATTTTATCTCATAGCAAAGATAATAAAGAAATTAAATTGAGAATGTACTACTCTCATAATGGAAAGAGTAAAGGAATCTTTTGCCAAAGGAACAGCCAAAAGCAGTTGTTGAGAATATACATACCAATCCACCGTAAACATAGCCAACTGCAACACCACTCGGTATACACATGTAAAATGCTCCCAACCATGCTGTTTTCTGACATCAGAAAGAGAACATATAATGTAAAATCAAATGCAAAAGATTACACAACGTTGAGTTTGATACAACATATGTCAATGCTTTAAGGACATCGTGAATGGCTGATATTATGGATAGAAAACAAGTATCTTATTCCTCCAAACCCAAAGTTATCCTTCGAATACTCGTGTTTCTTTTCAAAACGTCAAAATTGTAATAACATGGAAACGACAATTGTATTATTAATTATAATTAATTGATTTAATTTGTATGGTTACTATAATTACGCTCGTCTATAAATGTATAATTTTGCATGGGCTAGAACACATTCAAGCACTGCATTGCACTATTGCAGAACACATACATAGACCTGATTGTCAATAGATTTAACAAGTAAAAGGACATCTTCCACTCATAAGCATGTGATAGAAACATATTCAAGATGCTATTCAGTAAACAATGAACAGCAGTCCATATTGCCTTACACCTCTGAAGTGTTTTCTTTCCTTCCCATTTTCCCCTTTAGGTTTATTTCCTTTCTTTTCTTTCGGGAGAGGAAGGAAGGTTGTAATTTTTGCTCTACGTGATGCAAACGTTGAAGCTATAAGCATATGCTTAACTGGGTAAAAAAAACAGGGGTGGCAAAGCAGAAGAGAAGTTTGACAGATGAAAGGAAGATGAGGCTAGTTTGGTCTTTTTAGTTGTTTACCACCTTCAGCCCCTTCAATTACATATCCGCAAAAGAACTATGAAACTTAAGGTTTCCCCTTCTCTTCCTTTAGTCCTTTCTTTACTAAAATCCTTTTACACTGTCACTTTCCCTCCCATGTTACTGAATTTAAACATAGGCCAGTGGGAATAGGCCTCTGGGTCAAACCATGAAGAGCAACCATGTTTGTCCTTTCAATATTTTGTTGCCTTTAACAATTAAATGAGCCGATCACACAATTAACGGCTTCATGGAGAAGCTTAAGAGGTCATAAAATGGTTAGTGATTTGTGTTATGGTCGAAAAAGTAGAAAGTTGAACGAAGTAAAGTACTTCAAAATTGTGACCAGAAGTTAATATAGAACTTACTGAATTCCACTACCAGATGAGCATATACCATCTTTTGAGCAAGTCTTGCTGCTCCCATTAACACCATTGCTTGCTATTGCTCCGCGATCCACATAATTTAGTAAGTTGATGACACAAAATATAACAAGTAACCTGCCAGAAAAGCAAACAGAATCCCACTAAGAAAATTATTAAAAAGTAATTAATTAATACAACAGGTTTCAGATTGGAAGAGCTCAATCATAGTACCATTAATTTGATAATGCATGAACTGAATTTCAATGAATTTCAAATTGATTGGAAGGCAACCACTTATAATTGCGTCCTCCCATAACCTAATCACAATTTACTCAAAATCAAAAACCCTAATCGTCATAATCCTTACATCACCCAACGCATGAACGACCAATTTTCCGAAAACCCTACTAAGTTATCTTCCCTTCAGATTTTTAATTGAGTTCGTAAGAATAATGTGACCAAAAAATCCAAATTTATTTTCCAACTACATAATTTATTCTGACAACAGTAAAGACTTGACTTTTTTTCCCTTTTCTGAAACAATCGTTTATAAACCCAACATAACTCAAATTTTCTCGATTCCTTCAGCAGATTTTCTTGAACCAATCAAGAAGCCCACCTTATCACCAAGTAAATAAATCACAAAAATACAATTTATAAATACAAAAAAGTTACCTTTTAGGTGTAAACCAAGAAGGATTGGGAGCTGGGGGAGGATCCGTAGCCATGCTCTTTCTATCACTATTGCTGAGGTTCCAGTTTCGGGCTCGATATCGGGTCGTCTAATGGGCGTCCATATGGGTCTCTGGTTGTTCTCCTTCCATGAAACAGGATATGTAGGAGCTGCTTGTATATAGTGATATATCGTTAAACGGATAAAACGAAAAAAAAAAAAAATGAATATCTTTACTGTAATTCTGTTATTTTTTCCGAAAAATTATTATTCGAGGATTTTTTTTTTTTAATTGAGAAATATTATCGTGGATACAAATAGGAAACCAAAGAATTTTATGTTTGGCCTCCATTATTTCAAAAACTTTAAAAAAAAAAAATTGTTTTCAATTGCACATACTTCCATAAAATAATATTATACGTAAACAAAACCTTTTTCTTATTTTTTAATCACACTTTCTAAAAAAATCACTATTCGAAAATATATTGAGCCCGTTTGGTAGGGATTTTGAGAATTGATTTTTTGACGGTTAGAAGAAAAGTTGGGTCCACATGTGAGAGAAGAAGTCAAAAATTACGGCTTGAATAGTAAAATAACGGTCAAAAAATCAATTTTTTGGGGCAAAAAATCCCTACGGGGCCATTATCTTACAAAAATTGGCTCAAACAAGTAATGATGTTTTTGGTTTGGGAAGTGATATATATACACACACGTGTGTGTGTGAATAATTGAAAGTTGTGAATTTTTTAAAAATATGTAAATAAAATTTAGTAGTAATTGTGGATTAAATGATGTTAAATTATAATTACCTTCCAAACATGTAATTCAACTCCATAAGTCGAATTTTTGTGAAGTATCGAAAAGTATTAATCCACTTGTATTAAAGCGTTACGTGTCCAATAATACCACGAAACAATTAATGTTTTCTTGCAAGTCAATGACTAAGCCCCTAGTTGGTTTTTTTTTTTTTTTTTTTTAAAGGATTTTTAAGATTATAATAAAAGTTGATAAAATGTGTGGTAAAAAAATTGATAAAAGCTGTGGAGTTTCATAAATTTTATGTGATTGAAAATGAGTTTTGAGAAAGAAAAAAATGGAGCATGGAGTAAATATTGTTTGCTTGAAAAAATCATCAGTAATTTTCTTGCAAATCAGTCATCAAAGTATTGTTAATTTTCTCATGTTTAAACTTCTCCTACTAAATAACAGTTCTGCTTCTGAGCCAGGCTCAGAAACAGGGTAAAAAACAGGGGGCCGAGGTGGAAACACCTCGGCACCCTGTTTTTTGGCCTGGACTTTTCCACCTCGGCCCCCTGTTTTTTGGCCTGGACAAGAGGCATTTTCGACTAAATAAACATTAAGCTCCTGTTTGAGCCTCATTTTTATTTCATTAAAATGAAAAATATGACCGTTATCTATCACATAAAGCCACCATTTTTGAATTTATATCTCTGGTGTGGAGTCCATAACGACTCTATTTCTCATTCTCATTCTCATTATAATGTGGTTCAAACGAGCTCTAAATATAAAATTTGAGTTATTAGACAAGAATCATTGAAAATGAAAAATTAAATTTAGTCATCTATTCATCGAACATCTATACCATGTGAACGAAAGTAAATGACATTCACATAAAGCAGACAAATAGGAATTACGTGCGAAATTCGTTAGAAATGAAATTTAAATTATTTATCTATTTAAGGGTGGACATAGTTCCATTTGATTATATTTTCAAGATAATTCGAAGTGAACTATGAACCATTGATTTTTTTTTTCAAATAAAAATTAAATAAACATCAAATATTCAGGAAATCCAAATTATTAATCATCAAGATCACAAAATTCCATACTAACAAACGTAATATAATCATAATTTGAATAAACAAATATTCCATAATATCTCAAAGATCAACGCACTTCTTTCGCATCAAAGTTATCTCGTGTGTAGTCGTGGTATATACTCAATTGATTTGTATGCGCAACAGTTAAAAGAGTTCCTAGAATAAGGACATTTTCCAATCCAATCAACACAGTACTTCAAAAACACAAAAGCAAAAACAGAATTTTAGAAGTAAATTGCCAGCAGCCCATGTCCAACAACTATTCAAAAAGTGTCAAGTCAAATCTGATTTCTCTCATGTTTTCGTAACTGATTCAATGTCAGTGGTTGCTTACAAGTTCTCATATTGTGAATGTTACCTCCATACCTTGTTACTTCTTTGCTTTAATGCTTCGATCCTAGTCTTCTCTTTTTAGGTCCCTCGACTTTCCTTTTAAAGTTAGTGAGAACATCTCATTAGGGCCATGAATTTTCGGCATCGTCCAATGATCACGATGCCCAAGAGGCACAATGGTACCACCATATGCAGAAATGTAAGCTTGCTTCATGTAGTAATGCGAATTATGAATACATGGGTGCATTTGATTATCAATATTTTTCATTAAAAATGTTATTTTTTTTCACCAAAATTCATATTTTTATGCTGTTTGATCGATATTTTTTTTTTCCATGAAAGACACTTTCTTTCTTTTGGTCACATGTCCATATCCATATTTTTTCTGAAAATAAGGAAAATATTTTCTTTAGAATAAGTAAGTTTTTGTTTTTCTAGTAATTCTCTCTCATCTACCTCCTCCCTCTCTCATCTACTCATCAATAAAATTGGACCAAGTATCACATTTTCTAAATTGAAATCAATCAAATACATTTAATCAATAATTTCCATGCATGTAAATTCAAAGCATGCAATCAGTACTTCCACGATTGCATCAAACATCGACATATATCTCAATGAATTAAGGTATTTCACATGTATCATAATCAAATATTCAATAAGTTTGTCATATATCATATTTATTGGACTATGCATATTATGATTGTTATGTACAATGCAGAGGTTTAATTTAAAAAATAAAACAAAATCCGATAACGGATTATGGCTGAGAAATCAGCAAGAACCAGTGGAAATAGAAATTCGTTGAGATTTTTCAATATAGAAAAAATGCTTTAATAATCCCATTGGACAACAGTGATCAATTCATCACATGAAGATGTATAAGTTTTCAACATATCACAGAAGATGGCGTATGGAATGTGATTAACCTTAGAACTTATGCAATGATACAAGAACAATGGTGATGCGTTCTTCCACTATAAACTTATAATTCTATGAATATTCTAAATTAATCATGACGGATTGTGTAAAATATCTTGGAATTGGGAAAAATTTAGATAATCCATTTTTTAATCTCTCACCCTTTGATGAATCAAGATATTATCCGATCAAAATCTTCAGCCCGACACCAGAAGCGGTGTATTCTTACCTCCTCGGTGATAATCAACCAAATAGCAGAGTTTCATCACGAGTAATTATTAAAAGATTGATTGTCAACGGCTGATGTTTATCTTCAGTTACAGAAAGGTAAGGACTTATGGGAACTCAGTAAATTTGATCTATTTTAATTCAGTTGTCAGTAATTTCTGAATTTAAAATATCAATCAGTAAACGATGAATTCTTTTATTCTAATGGGTTATATATATAAAACTTTCCCTGTGAATTAATGGAGAATCTGTCATCTATGATTGTGAAAATAGAGAATCTATGAAAAATGGAACAATATTATAGACGAAAATAGAGAATTGTGAATTGGAACAATGAAACAATAATGCTTTGTGATTTGGCAAGAAATTGGAAATTGTTGTTGTCAACTTCTTCTTGTTGGTGACGTCTGCGCTATAACTTGGATTTTATTGATTTATATTTTCATATATACATAATTTTACATTTTACTGTATTTATATATTTATTCAAGAAAATTTTTTAATTTTATTTAATTAAATATTAAAAAACAATTTCCCTATTGCGGTCGTGCACGCGATGGCTCATATAATATTGTGCTACCTTGGTATATCTCAAAGGTATATTCATGGAGGATTGAAGATTCGTTGGAGACATCGAGAATTCCGAGAATTCGAGGTCCAATGATATGGGAGCTCATATGATAATTTGCTACCTCGGTATATCTCAAAGGTATATTCATGGAGGATTGAAGATTCATTGGAGATATCGAGAATTCGAGGTCCAATGATATGGGAGCTCATCTAATAATGTGCTACCTTGGTATATCTCAAAGGTATATTCCAGGCTCTTCGTTTCTTTACAGGATTTCTACCGGTTCTATGTTGGTTCCTACGTTGGATTTTGGTATAATGAAGAAGCTTTATCTCCATTTCATCGAAAAAGAACAAGAGAGAGTTAAAATATTACCGCTGTTTTGTCCAAACGTGCCCTTATAGCTTACTTATTGATGCATCCAGTACTCCCCTTTACATTCTCTGAGTTACTATACTTATGGCAAATTTAATTTTAAGCAATCTTTTAGAAGTAATTATTGAAAAATTGACTTCTTCATTCATAGAGAAGTTTCGTGATCTCTATAATTTTAAAGATAATATCAGAAAACTTCAGCAAACGCTACCTATGGTTCAGGCTATTCTTGAAGATGCACAGAATCAGCAAGAAACTCGACAGGCCGTGAAGCAGTGGCTATTGAAGCTCGAGGACGTAGCTTATGCATCTGAGGACTTGCTGGATGAGATTTCAGATGAAATATTTAAATGTGAACGTCGAGGCAGTCGAGGCAAAGACGTAAGTGATTTCTTTCTACCGTTTAAGCCTTCTGATCATCTTTTCCATATTGCTTCTAAGCTTCAAAATAAGCTGAAAGATTTGAATGAGATTGCAAAACAGGGTTTTACCTATAATTTACGTGTAGAAAAAGGTTCAACCAGTTTAGTCCGAAGTAAAGAAACATGGTCGTCCGTGGTTGAGTCTAAAATATATGGAAGGGAGGATGATAAAAAAAATCTACTCAAGCTTTTGTTACCTGGCAACGAAGGTAAAACAATAGAGTATATGTCAGTCGTTTCAATTGTTGGCATTGGAGGGCTTGGGAAAACAACTCTAGCTCAGTTAGTTTACAATGATAAGACTGTAAATGACCACTTTGATTTGAAAATGTGGATCTATGTTTCGGAAAGTTTTGACATCAAAAAGCTCATGATGAGTATCGTGGAATCTGCGACCAAAGGGAGTTGTCGACTCTGTAGTATGGATCTTCTTCAATCTCAACTTCAGGACTCGATATGTGGGAAGAGATTTTTGCTAGTTTTGGATGATGTGTGGAATGAAGACAAAGACGAGTGGGAGAGATTTATCGATTTGCTGAGAAGTGGTGCAGAAGGAAGTAGAGTCGTGGTCACTACACGGAGTATGAAAGTTGCATATTTCACGGGCTCCACGGTGTATGAACTTAAAGTATTATCTGATGATGCTTGTTGGGTTTTGTTCAGGAAACAAGCTTTTGGCGAGGATCGAGAGGATGAAAGTACTAATCTTATGAAAATTGGGAAAGAAATCATCAAGAAGTGTGGAGGTGTCCCTTTGGCAGCAAAAACGTTAGGGAGCCTATTGCGCTTGAAGAAAGAGGATTATTGGATGTCCGTGCAAGATAGTGAACTCTGGAATCTCAAAGGATGCCAGGGTGCCATCTTACCAGCCTTAAGGCTGAGCTACGTCTATTTGCCACCACATCTGAAGCGCTGTTTTGCATTTTGTTCATTATTCCCTAAAAATCATGAAATCAATAAAGAAAAAATGATCTACATATGGATGGCAGAAGGCTTGATTCTACCAGATGGGGAAAATAGACAGCTAGAAAGCATAGGCGATGAGTATTTCGATGATTTGTTGCATCTGTCTTTCTTCCAAGAAGTTGAGAAATGCAAAAATGTCAGCCATGCAGTATACAAAATGCACGATCTTATTCATGATCTTGCAAGAACTATTGGAGGGAATGTGTTCGCAATATTTGGACATGGTTTAGCACCAAGCGACCTGGCACGGATTCGTCACTCGTCCGTCATTTGTAACTTCGATCCATCTTCCTTTCCAAGAGACTTGTTTGAAGCCAAACATCTGCGAACTCTCCTTTTTTTGTTTCCCGGAGGTAGCTCTGGTGACATTCCTTATTTTCTAATCATGAAATTCATATACCTGCGCATCTTGGATTTAAATGGATCTGGAATTAAAACATTGCACGAATCAGTTAGTGCTTTATTATGTTTAAGATTCCTGGACTTGTCAAGCACTTCAATCCAAACGCTCCCCACTACCATTAGTGACCTCAGTAATTTGCAGACTTTGAATCTATCAGGATGTTGTTACCTTGTTGAGTTGCCTTTTGGGATGGCTAATGTAACTAGCCTAAGACACCTGAATATAATGGGCTGTGAAGGGTTGACTCAAATGCCTGCTGGAATTGGAAATTTGATTCACCTTCAAACTTTGCCAATATATATTGTGGGGAAAAGGACTTGGGAAAGCATTGCAGAACTTCATTCTCTAAACCTTAGAGGTGAACTGCATATAAAACGCATGGAAAATATCAGAGACGCAAAAGAAGCAAGAGAGGCAAATATGAGAGAAAAGAAACATCTTCACACATTGAGACTCCAGTGGGGAATTAGCAAGAAAAGTAAGGACTTGTCGCCTACCAAAGTGACTTCTTCTGACAGTTCGTCAAGTTCCCTACCTGAGGAAAGCAGCAAAGATGTGGAAGACATTCTTGAGTGCCTTGAGCCACATGCCAATCTGAAAAATCTCCATATAAAAGGTTATCCAGGTATAGCTATCCCCCCCTGGGATCTTCCAAATTTAGTTACGATTGAGTTGATTAACTGCAGAAATTGTGTATACTTGCCTAAGATCGGGCAACTTCCGTTCCTCGAAAGAATTTCTCTGCAAGGAATGGATGGTATCACAAGCATCGATGAGGGATTTTACGGCGGAGTCTTCCCAGAACCATTTCCATGTGTTAAATTCTTTACAATCAAAGATTTCCCAAACCTAGAAGATTGGTCCAGCATTGATGGAGGTTTACCATTTCCTCGCCTGGAAAAGTTAATTTTGGACAAATGTCCCAACCTGACTAATGCTCCCGCTCCTGCCTTTCCTTCTATCCGGCATTTAGAACTGCATTTTTGCAATGCAAAGATCATGGAATCCTTGGAGAATATAACCTCACTTTCCAGTCTGGTAGTCGACATGCTCCCCAACTTGAATCATATTTCAGGTTCACTCCTTGGAAATAACAAGTATCTGGAGTCTTTGGAAATTCGAGCGTGCCAAAATCTTCATTTGCTCACTTCAAAGCTAGAGAATCTGATTTATCTGAGATCCCTGATTATTAGCTGCTGTGAGAAACTATCAGATTTGCCACCTGGACTGAAAAAGCTTGAAAGACTTGAGCTTCTGGAGATCAACTGCTGTCACAGTCTGATCTTGCTTCCACACGAAGAAATTGAAGGTTTAGGATCCCTTAAAACCTTTTCCATTGAAAATTGCAGCAATCTGATTTCTTTGTCAAGTGGCTTCCATCATCTCTCTTCCCTCGAGCAACTGTCGATAATGAGTTGCCCAAAGTTAACTTCATTACCAGATGGTTTTGAGAATCTCTCCACTCTTCGTAGTTTAAACATCGTATCCTGTCCCGAGTTGTCTTATTTGCCATCGAGTCTACAACACGCCACAACCCTGCAAAGTCTGGTACTTCACAGCTGTCCTGGATTGATAACTTTGCCCGAATGGTTTAAAGAACTTTCTTCTCTCAGATCGTTGGCAATTTCGAATTGCAATTATCTGATATCATTACCAGAAGCGATACAGTCCCTCACTACACTTCAGCACTTATCAATCCAAGATTGTCCTCAACTTGAACGGCTTTGCAAGAAGATGAAAGGCAAAGAGTGGCAGAAAATAAAGCACGTCCCTCATATGTACATTGGATCGCTTAAATTTTGTAAAGGAATTCTTTGCTTGGATGATTGAATCAGAAACTTCAGGCATTGGTTATCTCTAGAGAGGTAACTTCCTTTTTTTCCTTGTACTCGCCTGTGATACGATTTCATCAGAACTCATGATTGCTTTGAAATTTTACAGAGTTACTTGAGTTTTCGTTAAACTTAATTTCCCCCCCTGGTTCTAGCCGTGACGTATGTATCTGAAATCTTGTGTAGGCTTAATGACGCTTTACAAGGCATCGGACGATATTTTTGGCTGATTCTGGGATTATCATGTACAAAAGCTGTTGTGGGGGTGTTTCGTTAAGTGCTTCTCCTTCCAAGGCTATGATTCTAATTGTATTTATTCCAAAATTGTGTATAAAATACAAAATATAGCACAGAAATGAACCACTACATGTATAGATAACACATATTTCTGGGTTTGAACGAATAATAGAACTAAAAATCATTTAGTATTGTTTCGAAGTTACTTTTAGCGTTGTTTATGTTCTCAAGCCACTTTTTATTCACGGGTTTCAATACAAATCACTTATTTTTATTTATTTATAGTTCAAATAGTTTATAATCACTTCCCAAATCTTTTCAACATGTTTTATAATGAACTAAAACTTCAAACCATTATCTGCACCAATGTTGATCAAGATTTCTACAATCGAACGGTCAAGCTCATCGAATGCCACTTGATCAATGATAACACGTGATAAAACTAAACAAATTGGCAGAGAGAAAATTAAAAACAATTTTACTGATTTTGAACAGAAAAATAGGAAGAATATAATAACATTTGCTTGCATAAATCAATCAGCATTTGAGAATACATTTATATACAGTAGAGTGAGGTTCAAAAAAAAGTGTACGAGCCTCAACCAAGTCTGCAACTCTCACCTTCAAAGACACATTGTTTCATTAAATGTCAATAATTTGTCAGGCTAAGATGATTAATTTTGACGTACACAACAAAAAGGACCAAACGAAGTGAATATGTAGAAGATAATTAAAAGCCAAAGAAATGTCTTGAGATCGTTAGTTGCTGCTCAAAGGCCAAAGGATCCCAACCCTCGTAATATAAATGTAACCTATTTCTGTGAATTTATACCTGCAATGGCTTCATCACAGGCGAGTCTTGATCATCAGTTTTCCCTAGTGCTTCTTCAGCTTGCAACTCCATCGAATCGCGTACTAGCTGACGCAGAAACGTGACATCATCAGACATAACACCGAGCCCTTTCAAAAGTTTGGAGCCTAGCTGTAAACTTGTCTGCAAAAATAAAACATAATGAGAATCTCAGCTAAAATTAGTTCTTTACCTAGGATCAATTCAATGTACCTCTGTGTTTTCAAGAATGGCGTCTGTTGCACCTGCTTTCTTCAGATCTAACAAATGCATCATGTCCTGAGCACGGGCATATATAGGGACCTGCAGAGTAGAGTTTTCATCCACGCATTAGCATTGTAAAGAATACAGACTTGTCAGCTAATACAAATTTCATTTCTTTGGACAAGAAAATAAATTGAATGTTCATACTTTGCCATGTTTGGTAAGGGCATGACAATCTCAGCCAATTGAAAAAGAGTTAGAGCTTAATAAATTTCTTTGAGAATAAAAGTTTAATTTGCACCTCAAGGTGGGAAAAGAATATTGATGTTTCACACTTCTAGGAAATCTAGAAGAGGCTTTTAGTTAGAAATATCTGCCAAAAATGTAAATGGTGTATCTGCAAGCCTTTACTAAAAATGTTTTCTTATTTTCTTCTTTTCCATTTTCATAGAAAGAGTTCTGCATACATAGATATCAAACTTCTATTTTTCCGTTTCTTTGATCATTTTCTGATTATGGATGCGTGTGTTTTGTGTGTGCTTTGAGAGAGAGTGTGGAAGCGAAAAGAGTACCCCAGGATAGGCAAGCCGAATCCGCTGAACAGCTTCAATTGTCCTCCTTTTTCCGGTATACATGACCATTACAGCTTTAGGAGAACTAATGCCAGCAGACTGCAAAACTGCTGGACGGGAGCCATCACCATAAAGAACAGGGAAACCAAGTTTTCTAGATGCCTGTTATAGTGATGACAGAATAACACTTACGCAATCCATAAGAGAAACCCTTACTTTTGAGCACAGGTCAGAAAGAATCACATTAGGCAATATTTTCCTTTTTGATCAATGCTATGCTAAGTAGAAAGTTGATGAAACTGGCAAGGAAAGAGTATGGCATGATTTGGGCCAGTAGCAAATATAGATGTCAACTCATGAACAATTATGTGAATAAAACTATATCCGATCAACAACAAAAGATGATCCATACAGGAAGTACTACAAGTTTTGATCCCTTGTCTAGAAAAATGAAGGTTCTATTTTCCACCCGTGAGTCTTACGAAATGTGTGGATAATAAGTGAATAGCAAGTTATGAGTCCTATGAGTATTTTTGATCAACTTAAAAAAGTGAAGTCAAGCTTTGCCAAACATGCTCTAGGACTTTAGCAGCAATTGCCTTCAAAAGAGAAGTCTCAAGATCAAAAGCAACATAAGGCCACCCCCAGCGTCACCATCTAGAAACTTATAAACTGTGACTCTTAAGGAATGTGTGGACATAAGAGGGTAGCAAGTTGTGGGTCCTACGAAATGTCTAAATAAAAAGTATGTTTGACCAACTTAAAAAATTAAAGTCTTGCCAAACATGCTCTAGGACTTTAGCAGCACTTGCCTTCACAACAGAAGTGTCAAGATCAAAAGCAACATAAGGCCATCCACCAGCATCACCATCTAGCAACGGAGTGGACAAGAAATTGGCAAGAACCTTGTACAGTTGCAAGATTAAATTAATCAAACTAATAACATTGTTTCAGCTAAAAACACGGCTGATAAGAGTAGCTTACTTGACCCTTTTGGCCAAACCCAACAATAACAACTGGCTCACTGGCATCAAAGTTTACCGTGTCAACAATTTTCTGTGTCAGCAAAATTCTCAGTCAAGAACTTGAAAGGAGAGATTTTACAATATCTGGTAAATACAGAAAAAAAATTGTACAGTAATCAGAAAATTCCAATTGTCTGTCTCAAATATCTTCCTCAATCCAATGTCTGAGTTAGAGCAGGTTGATAGCATCCTCAGAATGTGATAAAAAAAATTCTCCAAGTTTCCTTTGAAAGGGTCATATAAACAGAGAAACAGACGGATATTTCATCCCATCACTAAGGGGTTTGGATCAGGATTTCATGAGGATGATTGAGCCACAACTTCCTAATTGTAGGTAAATGTCATGGTACAATAATTAAACCGCCTATATCGGGTGATAATGAGAAGATCTAATGTCATCTTATTATATATGGCTTGCATCGCCTTTGACAGAAATTTTAACAATAAAAAGTTCAGACAGAAGCACTTAACGCCCTCTCTATTGAACTGTAGGTCTCTTATAAACTGTTGTATAATGAGAACTCAGCACAGTTGCAGTGACTTACATTGTCTTCTTCAAACTTCTCACCAATATAATCAGCTGCCTTCCGTCCAATATCATTGAGTAGAGGTGTAAGTGCCATAGACATGACAACCACAATTATTAGAAGCTTATTCAGTTCAAGTGGCAGCACCCCAAGCCTATAATAAACGGCAACGGTTAACTGTAACAGAAAAGAAGATTATATTCTAGCGATGTAAATAACAACTCACCTGTTTGCTAAAGAAAAAATTACAAATCCAAATTCGCCACCTTGAGAAAGAAGAAAACCTATCCTTACACTCTCTTGGAGAGTTAATCCAACTCGGGGGCCTACTGCTGTTATAATTAGTGTCTTGATAGCAATCAAACCACCCAACAGCGCAAATACATTTGGCCACTCTCGCAAAAGAAGCTGCATATAAAAAATACTCTTGTAAAGAAAAATAAATTTCCAAAATTTGACCAAAATATAAACAATGTAAGAAGCGTTCGCTAAGAAACCAATGCGAAGGTAAACAGTTTAAACAATTTGCAACAAGTAATAAAATAGGTTGTACATGGTTAGTTACCACATGTTATGCACCTATATATCAGAATATATTAATACTTCACTGTGTGTTGAGAGAAGATATAATGCATGTTGTCAAAGTACATTAATACCTCAGTGTCAATGGAAGACCCAGTTGTCACAAAAAATAACCCAAGAAGTAATCCCCTGAATGGCCTTATATCAGCTTCAATCTGTGTACGGAAGTTTGTTTCTGCCAGAAGAGCCCCGGCTAGAAAAGCTCCTAGCTGCAAATCCTCAAAATTAAAGATATATATATATATATATATATATATATATATTAACTTAATGACTTCAATCTGCCTTATTCATGTATATTCAAGGAAAGTATATCAACCGTGTCACTGAAGCCCAACTTCTGCGTTAAAAGTGATGTCCCTGCTACAGTCAGTAAGCATAGGGCAACAAAAGCTTCTGAACTTCTTGTGTCTGCAACAACCTAGGGTCAACAAATAAATTTAATTTCTACATCACAAAATTAAAACTTCATCTGAATCTTTATTCATCTGAAATAAATGCTTTTGTGCACACCTCAAATACTCGCCTCAGAAGGTATTTTCCTCCAAGAGAAAGCAAACCTAGTCCACCTAAAGCTTTTAAACTTTCTCTGGCAAGCATTGGCCAAATACTTTCTTCCACCAAATTCTGCAGATGATAGATTTCAAAGCTGTAGATTATGCATTCAGTTGAAATTGGTGTGGTATTGTTATGCAAGAGAAGCTAAAACCAGAAAATAATATAACATACTAAGAATACAACATAGTTGAAACATGTCGACATCATGCACTGATGTCAGCATAGCTTGCTGAAAAATGCAAGAACCCATTTGCATTCTATTAATAAGGTTGAAAGTTCATTGCTGACCATGTAAATCTGACACTATACGCGATGACTTTGCAATAATACTGAACATCCTTGCCATATCATTCAGATGATACTATATGCCCAAATTTCAGTCATTCAGGGCAACCAAAGTCCTTGAGCTGGCCATTAATCCATTTATTACGGATAGTGTGGAACATTATCTACAGTTTTGTGCATACTTGAGATGTCAACCAGAAGAAGGCAAATGCAATGATGTGTAACTGATAACCAGATTTTTCTACTTCAAATAAGATATTGATGGCTCTTACCC